ATACTTAAAATTTTTAAATATTTTAAATTATTCAAATATATAATTTAGAGCGATAAAAATCATCCAAAAAAAAGAAAAAAAAGCTATATAACATAAATGGTAGACTATCAATAATAATCTGAATAATATTTTATTACGAAGAACAAATTTCTTTGGATAATAATTTGATGTTGATCGTCAAAAAAGCTCCTTCTCTATTCAAAAAAAAGTTGGTCACTTTTTTTCTCGCATAATTTGAGTTCAATGATGTGAAGAAAAAAAGAACCTTTAGCTTTACTCATTCTCTTTGTGTTATTACCGACATTAATTTTTAATTATAACTAACTTTTTTTTACCAAGGTAAATGTAGTTTAAATTATTCGTTGATATAAATAATAAGGACAATTAATATATATAATTAATTTTCTTATTTTGTAAAAAAAAAAAACTTTATTTAAAGTGTTTTTAAAATTTAAATTTTCGAAAAATAAAGATATATATTTTTAATAGTTAGACTGAAATTTGACAAAAATTATAAAAATATTTTTTAAAAATAAGATTAAATAAATAAAATTTTAACAAAAAAAAACTAATTATTAAAAATAAGAAAATAAAATCATTAAGTAACAGTTATTAATGTCTTTTCTTTTGTCATTATAATTTGTCTCAACACAAGTTAAAGAAATTATTTGAAAGTGAAATGACAAAAAAGGACACGTTAGGTCCCAACTCACCAACTCAACTACGCTCCTAAAGGGACAATTTGGCACCAACCATTGAATTAAAAAGGAACCATTTATATTTTTTATTTTAAAATTTGTAACGGTTTAAAACGTTCAAAAATAATTATTTGGTTTCTCGGTTCGAGGGCCACACCCTAACATTTTGAAACTCCATGGGTGGAAGTTTATGTTCGAGTTTTAGTTTAGTTGTCTGCTAAGTATATATTCTTGATCGACCTTTAAACGATCCTATTTATTTATTTTTTTTTAGTAAAAATAAGATCGTCACTTAAAAGTTTTATTTAAAATATTTTGTAAACAATGTTACGTGGAGGTCGTACCTCCAAAGATCCTCGTGAACACGACTCCCTAAGACAATATAGAATGTTTTTCTGATTGGGCTGCAAGCCCAAATTAATTTGGGCTCTGGTGTACCATCTTCATAAGTCCCTTTTTAAATTTTATGATAAAATAAAATGACCAAAATACCCTCTCGTTACCTTCACTTATAGCTGCCCATTGCCACCACGGCCGAAACCATCATGGTTGTTGCCACCATCCATCGTTGACTAATACAGCCTATTTTATACAACCACTGTTATTGGTTGTTAGAAACAAATTGTTGCAACCTCGTTATCTGAGACCACTCAGCTGATCACTAATAACAAATTACTGTTAGTTCATTGTATTTAATAGTTGTTGATTTTGATTACAATCTCGACGTATGGCTCAGTAAATGATGTTGTAATTTTTGTTGTAGCTGCATATGGAAAGCAATGTGACTGAAGAGAAGCGTAAGAACGGTTTGGAGGACGTCACCCCAAATAAAGAAGCAAAACAACTTACTCTAATTGAACGAGCGAAACGACGAAAAGGGTATATTTGTAATAATCGCAAAATCCTAATCAAAAGGTGGACTCCAATTTAGGGTTCTTAAATTGTTCCATGATTCATTTTTTTTGAAAAATAACGGAAAAGAACACAAGAAAAAGACTGTTTTCAACGGACAGTGGTCCCCACTAGTTCGTGCCTTTTGCCGAATTCCTTTTGAACAGCTCAGAAACCGCCATTATTTTCAAATCCACAGAACCCCAGAAGCCCAAAATCATGGCCGTCGCCATCGCCATCACCGATCTGATCTTCTTAATCATCTTAACGACCATACCATTTTCGATTTCTCAGCCAACTGAGAAAGCTCCGCCTCCCACCGCCGATTCTTGCAATGGCATCTTCTTGTCCTACAGTTTCAATCAAGGAGCCAAGCTTCCCCCAAATCTCACAGTTCTGGCACGCCAGCCGTACCGATTCGAGTCCACTCTCTCGATTCTCAACAACGGTCTTCAGGAGCTCAAGTCTTGGAAGGTTTTTGTAGGGTTTCAACACGATGAGTTCTTGGTTTCGGCCTCCGGCGCCGTCCTCGCCGATGGTAATTCTATCCCTGGTAACGTTGGTAATGGGACCGTCTTTGGTGGTTTTCCGATGAGCAACTTGAAGACGGCCATTGAAACTGCTGGGGATTTCACTCAGATGCAGGTCCAAGTCAAGTTACTTGGGACCCAATTTGGGGTTGCCCCTCCGAATAATCCGATGCCTTCCAATATATCTCTTGCCAATGATGGATATCTCTGCACCAAGCCAATTCTACAAGGTACTCCCCCCTGCCTCTCTGGTTTCTGCTGATTTATCCCTTATTTCTGCTGTTTCTAGCCCGATTCTACTCGTCTTAGCTGTGATCATGAGTTCATAAGTAATAAGTAAGAAATATATCTGCATTGATGTGAAGTCTTTTAGGAAATCAAAAGTATAGTCATAAGAGCTTGCTAAAAGTAGACAATAACATAGTACTATGGAGAGTCGTGATTTCTAACATGATATCATATCCTTACCCTTAACCTAGCCACGTCAAACAAAGAAGTTGAGACCCTTGAAAGTGTAGTCAAAAGTGACTCAAATTTTGAATCAAGGATATACTTTGTTCGAGGGCTCCATAGGACTCATGAGAGACTCTATGGTATACTTTATTCGAGGGGAGAATTATTGGGGACTCTCACATTGACTAATCAAGGGAATGATCATGAGTTTATAAGTAAGGAATACATTTCCATTGGTACGAACGCCTTTTGAAAAATCAAAAGAAAAGTCATTGGAGCGAAAGTAGACAATATCATGCCATGGTAGAGAGATCTTATACTTAAACTGGACAATATCCTACTATCGGGGAGAGTCGTGATTTCTAACACTAGGTAACCCCACGCCGTCTAGATTCCAGTGATTTATTCCAAATCTTCTGCAGTTTCTTATCAGTTGTTGGAAGATTTTACACAATCTGGGTTTCTTTCTGCTCATTATGCTTTAGCAATTTTGTTTATACAATGCTAGATTCTGGTGGTTTATTCAGTTTTTCGTAGTTTCTTATCAGTTCCTGAGTAGTTGCTAAATTTTAGAATCTGGGTATCTGCTTAGTTTCACATTGAGTATGTTTATGATTGGGAGTTCGATTAGTTCTTGGTGGGTTTTCATTTGTTGGGGGTTTTGGAAGCTTTCTTCTTCTTTTGATTCTGCCTGCAACTTTGAATTTCATTCCACAAAATATCAGGAAAGAGTGAAATGCACGTCTGTTGCTCACCCGATCCACGCGTTAAAACAAACATCACAACCAGTGAAGAGTTCTTAGCTCGTCAAAATGGTGATCTAACGATCATGTATGATGTGACAAGAACATATGATTCAAGTTACTGGGCACAAGTCACAATTTCTAACCACAATCCTCTTGGTCGTCTTGATTATTGGAAATTGAGCTGGGATTGGATGAGGGATGAGTTTATCTATTCAATGAAAGGTGCTTATCCTTCTGTTGTTGATTTTACTGAATGCATTTTTGGTAGACAAGGCACTTATTATAGGGATTTAGACTTTTTCAATGTGTTAAGTTGTAAAAGAAGGCCTACCATTGTTGATTTACCTCCAACTAAGGCTAACGACACCACTCTCGGGTCGATCCCGTTCTGTTGTCGAAATGGGACGATCTTGCCATCGCATATGGACCCGAGCAAGTCGGTTTCTGCATTTCAGATACAAGTGTTTAAAATGCCACCAGATCTTAATAGATCTCAGATTACACCACCTCAAAATTGGCAGATTAGTGGCGTTCTTAACCCGACATATAAATGTGGTCAGCCAGTGAGAGTAAGTCCTAGCGAATTCCCTGACTCGAGTGGTTTACTGTTGAATTCGACTGCTGTGGCTAGTTGGCAGATTGTTTGCAATATTACACATGTAAAGAAGGACATCCCAAAGTGCTGTGTTTCGTTTTCGTCGTACTACAATGAATCTGTCATCCCGTGCAGAACGTGTGCTTGTGGATGCTCGCTTAACTCTGCTCGTACATGTAATGCTACCTCCCCTGCAATGCTACTCCCAGCTGAAGCTCTTCTTGTTCCTTTTGAGAATAGGACTGCTATGGCTGTTGCTTGGGCTGGTCTTAAACATTTCCCGGTTCCGAACCCGATGCCTTGTTCGGATAACTGCGGTGTTAGTATCAACTGGCATTTGTATACCGATTATAGAAACGGATGGAGTGCGAGGATCACTCTCTTCAACTGGGGCGAAGTGAGCTTTGCAGATTGGTTTGCTGCAGTTCAGATGAACAAAGCAGCACCTGGCTTCCAGGCAATGTACTCGTTTAACGCAACGACCTTGGAATTGGATGGTTCGAACAGTACTATCTTTATGCAGGGTCATCCCGGACTAAACTATCTCGTCGGAGAAACAGATGGAGTGAACCCAGCTAAGGATCTGCGCGTACCTGGAAAACAGCAATCTGTAATCTCATTCACAAAGAAGAACATACAAGGTCTTAACATGGCTGCCGGAGATGGGTTCCCCACCAAGGTGTTCTTCAATGGGGAGGAATGCTTACTTCCTAAAATACTCCCTGCCAACAACATCCGAAGAAACTTAGCTCGGTTCATTCCGAGCATCCTAATGATAGGATTCGTGTTCTTGTTCATACAGCAATAGCCAGACGGGGATCGATCACATCGTGTTGGAGCTGCTGTTCATTTTTTCATTCTTTGAGGGATTCTCATGGCCTGTATTTTCTTGAGCTTTTGAAGTTTTGTAGTGTTTGTTATATTATCAGTTTGTTGAGGTAAATATTGGATAGAGTCTATATTTGTGCACAAATCTCATTGCTTTCTTATTATGCAGCAAGTTTTCAACACGAGAATCACTATCGTATATGTAACTCGAGCCTATATACCTAAAAAACAACGAGAAAATGGCTGAAACTGAAAGACAAAGATCACTAGCAACGACGTATCAACGACAATCTCAAAATTTTACGAGCACAGAAGGCTAACCAAATATGTACATGGAAGTGAACTGCATTTGCTTCGAACGTGTTATTTCAGTAAGTTAGTCATAAAGGGGATTCGAAAACCTGCAACTGCATCAAAAAACTCGATTCCGTGCGTCAAGAACACGGCAGTAATAGCCGACTCGAGCTAGTCTCTCCGAGGAAGCAGTGGAAAGAATCTGCACATATACAATGATCTGTCTAAATGGTCTGCCTGCAAGCTAAAGCAACATTCTAAACAGGAGTGTTATGATGAAACATCCATTCCAGTTCACTTTCAGCTGCTGCAATGCTTCCCTGTTGCTGTCAAATAAAACATTTACCACATCATTAATAAAAACAACCTTAAACTTCCCGAGTTTCGTCTTAGGAATGCCAGGACGATACTGCGATCTAACCTGCTTAAGAACTGCACTCATTAGGTCCTCTGGACCGAAGTGTTCAGAGAAAAGGTCGGTCTGACTGCTCGTATGAGGAGCTCTTTCAGCTTTGACTCTCACTGAACCATCGACGAAACGAGGGTCGAGTTGTTGGCTCATACTTTGTTCGTTCCCATTGTCACTTCGTTCGTCCAACAAGAACATGGCCTTGCCTGCGGTAGATGTGTTCCTGTTTTGTCCATTTTGTTGGCTAGAGGCAGCATACCCTTGTTGAGCGAAAGCTGAGGGTGGAACGTCGAGACTACCTTGAGACGTATCAAACGTCACACCAACATGTTGCAAGTCCCAATCATGGGGCTTCTGAGGATGCAGGTCCCTAAACATATCATAGTTTGGCACAAAACCTTCCGATCGTTTAATGTTCGAGTTAACGTCATCGGGGAATCTTCCCTTTGGTACGACACTCGACATTCCTGGGGTACTTTGAAGAGGAAAACTATTACCAGGCAATTCGGGGAAATTTAACATTGTTGCAGCTGGTGAAACTACACTGTACCCTCCACTGGCCTTTCCATTCGGCAAAATTGGCTGCTGCGATGTCGGTGGAAGCCTCGTTACGCTCGTTGGGGTACTTTCTTTGAGAATCTGTGCTCTAGCTTGTGGTTGAGAGCTAGATTGGCTTCCTCGTGTACTAACTTGCATTGTCATGTTCCCATGAGATTGCGACGATTGCTGCAGATTAGCAAGCTGTTTCGGCTCCATCGTTGTTGGGATTCCATGAAGTAGATTCATCGATTTACTACCATTCAAATGTCGCTGTTGCTCGTCACCGAATCTCAACTTCGGATTTTCGAAGCTAAAAATGTGGTTCCTTTGATCTACAAGAGGTATAGGCATGCTCGATTTCACTGTAGACCTACCGAATCCAGCTGCTTGAAGTGTAGCAAGGCTTTGTGGCTGGAGCTGACCAGCAGCAGCGAGAGTTCGAAGATCAAGACCGTTCAACGACGAGCCAAACACGTCTTGGGCACTCATGAACGTGTTGTTTAAATTACTCTGGTGTTGTGTGATTCCACTTACTCTTCTCAGGTACAAACGATATTTCTATACATTAAACGTGCAGCCTAGTTATAGATAAACGCTCATGAAAACGAACGAGACGGTCAGCGATCCTTACCTGAAGGTGGCTGGCAACGTTTTCTCTAGTGAGTCCAGGGACATTCATCAACTCGAGTATCTTCTTCGGAACAGCCTCTGTAATTTACAAAGGTTAGCAAAAACAGATACTAAATGAATGCAAGAGAAGATGAGAGAAAAATCCATACTATCAATTCCTAGTTGATTAACAGCAGCCATAAACTGTTGATGGAGCTCAACGGACCAAACGACCCTCGGTTTCTTTAAGGTCGATGAATCGTCCCTCTCCTCGACGTCTTCTACGTCCTCCTTCCTCCTCTTTGAGTTCTTCCAACTCCCTTCATTAGCAGACGATGAATAATCTGCATCTTCATTAGTTTTCTGCTGTCGATCGACGACATCATCGACACATCCCGATTGCTCCAAGTCTTTCCATTCATTCTTCCGCTTACGAACAACGTGCTGCCATATGTTCTTTAACGCTTCAATTCGAACAGGTTTTATTAAATAGTCACAAGCACCATGAGTTACTCCCTTCATGACGACGTTTTTCCCGTCATCCACCGACATCACTACATAAGTCAGCTCGTTAGGAACCAGTTGATCAAGCTAAGCTACATCATTCAGTATTAAGTATTTTGAAAACTTACTGATTACAGGCAAGTCCATTTCTAATCCTATGTATTCCAGAAGTTTGAATCCATCCATGTCTGGCATGTGGACATCGCTTAAAACGATATCGAACCCGTTTTTGTATCGTCTGAGAAGAGACAATGCATCCTCGGCTCGACTACAATTCGTTACTGAAACACTCAAAAACCAGACAACTTGTTCGTTAATAACACAGCTTCCGGTGTCTTAAAAGACAGACAACCTGATAAACATGTTCCCTAATCCAAACATGGGCAACTCAGAAGAGTACAGCAAACGAGTCAAAATTAGAACAAACTAGCTCAAGTCCACCGCTACCAGATATTGTCCGTTTTGGCCTATTACGTATCGCTGTCAACCTCACAGTTTTAAAACACGTCTATTAGGGAGAAGTGTTCACACCTTTATAAGGAATGTTTCGTTCTTCTTTCCAACCAATGTGAGATTTCACAATCCACCACCCTTAGGGGCCAGCGTCAAGGGTCAGCGTCCTTGCTAGCACACTGTTCAGTGTCTAGCTCTAATACCATTTGTAACAGCTCAAGCCCACCGCTAGCAAATAGTGTCCGCTTTAGCCCGTTACATATCGTCATCAGCCTCACGATTTTAAAATACGTCGACTAGGGAGAAGTTTCCACATCCTTATAAGGAATGCTTTGTTCCCCTTTCTAACTGATGTGAGATCTCACAATCCACTCCCCTTAAGGGCCCAGTGTCCTTGCTAGCACACCGCCCAGTGTCTAGCTCTAATACCATTTATAATAGCTCAAGCCCACCGCTAGCCGATATTATCCGCTTTGGTCGTTACAATCGCCGTTAGCCTCACAGTTTCAAACCGCATCTACTAGGGAGAAGTTTCCACACCCATATAAGGAATGCTTCGTTCCCCTCTCCAACCGATAAGAGATCTCACAATCCACCCCCTTAGAGGCCCAACGTCCTCGCTGCCACACTGTCCGGTGTCTGGCTCTAATACCATTTGTAACAGCTTAAGCCCACCACTGACAGATATTTTCCACTTTAGCCCATTACATATCGCTATCAGCCTCACGATTCTAAAACGCATCTACTATGGAGAGGTTTCCACACCCTTACAAGGAATGCTTCATTCTCCTCTCCAACCTACGTAGAATCGGGTCGTTACACTATATCCCAATCCTAAGTACCAAAAGGGCACTCAAATCTCAAATTGAAACTCAAGGAACAAGGAAACCGCAGCAAACCAATATCAGAAATAGCAGTAATTTCACCAGCAGACCCAACAAACTACCATATCGCATATGCGTACTTCAGAAACGAAGTGAATAACACAGATTCAAAGGTTCCATAACCTAAAAACAACAATCATATCACTTGGGATTGAGAAATTTTACCATCATAGCGGCAAATACGAAGCATCTTCTCCAAGATCATCAGACAGGTCGGATCATCATCCACAACAAGAACACGAAGCCCGATCGGAAACTGGTCGGGAACAGCTTCGCCGCCTTTCCTTATAGAGCTCGAACTCGCCGTAGACATCGATCCCTCAACTTGATTCAGATTTACCCTTCAATACCCCAAATCTTAAACCAATGAAATCAATACAAATACCCAAAATCGAGATACCTGCATTTCACCCTTCGGGAAAATTAGCCGAAATCAGAGATAGAATAAGGAAAATCGGCGTTTGAAACGGAAATTTTTATATACAGCACTGAGCGATTGGAGCAGAGCGGTTGAAGAGCCCAGTTTCTGCTTGGTGCTCGATTTCTCTGTTATTTAGGAGCTCGTGGTTCATTGGTTTATTGTAATGTATTTTATTCACGACCCAGCTCCACTCCACTAGGATTAGAGTTAACCCACGGCTCCCGTCTACGGCTCCCGTCTACTGTTAGTAGATATTGTTGTCTTTACTGCTATGGAGAGATTTCCACACTTAGACAGTATGAGATCTCTTTTCTTCGTAGAAATAAGAGATAACAAAATTACTATTAAAATAGAACGACCATAAACGTCTTAATTAAGATAAGCGTTCATTCCAAATTTTGATGGCTACCTAAAAGGAAGCATCTTTGACGTATGAGAGTATTCTTTCTTCTTTTCGTCGTTAGTCAACATCTATCTACCATATGATATAGATAAACCCCAACAAACTCGTTTTTACGATTTTATCCGTTCAAAGAGAATTTGTCTTCGTTAAAAGTATTAAAACTGTATGTTTTATAGTCATGTCATGTCATTGTTTAGAGTTCAGATGTGATCGTTGTTTAAGTGAAATCAGAATTTAGTTGAATTACACTCAAGTTGATTTTTTTTTCGTCTTTTTTCTGTTGTCAGATATTAGAATATATACTTCGTCCTCTACATATTTTTTTACTCGGCCCCACGGAAAATGAGACATGTTTATCTTTATCCTTGACTTACGTAACTCCCGAAACTTTCTAGCTCGTAAAGATATAATACATTTGTCTTTAGACCCAATTCTTACTAAAATAATTTGAAATGAATTCAATCTTGTTTCTTATTCTTACGTTCTCGATTTTAATCCCGGTAATTTCGAGATAGATTAGGGTTTATAAAGTGTTATCCACGTAATTTTTTGTAATTATTATTTTATTTTATTATTTTATTAGTTCAAGTTCCTAGGAATATGCTAAATGATTGATAAAAGCAACAGTAATTCATATAATCTCTTGAAAATATAAAAAATACACTTTTTTTTAATCCATTTTTATATTAATAAATGTTAAAGTTAACAATAAAATTCGTTCAATAAAACTTTCTAAATTCTAAATAAATAAATCCTTAAATTATTTATTTACTTAATTTAATAAAAATTGGTTAAAAAATATGATATAAAATTTAAAAATTAGAGACGTTTTTTTAATTACCATTTTTAATTTAAATTTTAATTAAAAAAAAATGAAGATTTGTGCTTTTGAGAAGAGACGGCCACGCGCGGGCGCGAGTATTAAAGAAAGTGGGAGCCGCGTGCAGTGCTTTTAGTTGGATTTCAGGTGATTAGGACAACCATGCCACGTGGCAACTAATGCAACTTTGACTAAATTCCAAATCCTCTTTTTCACTTACTTCGGATCAAAACTTACCCACTTTGCATTTTCCACGTGGCAACTATCCACTTCTTCCAACTTTCTACGTTCTTTTCACATCTGCTTCAGCGGAATCTTTTTCAACCGACACCTAGCTTACCGAATCAGTTGGACACAGATGAGAATGCATGCTCCGAAAGATAGGGTCGAGTCTGATACATCAAACGTCTACTCAATATCCTTGTACGAGTCCACAATCACTACACGAGATGAACCTCGGTTTAGTGAATTGAAGTTGGTCTTAGGTGTAATAGGACTCCCAGTTAGTACGAGCCATCGAGTAATTGTATGGTTAGAAAGAGAAATATCCGCCGGGATACAACAACGTATTGGACTTGAAATAGTAATACAATAAAATGAATTATCCGTTTATAAAAAATATTATAATGGTTTAATTAAATTATGTGTTTAGTTTTTTCGAATTAATCTTAAAAATTAAATTATTAATATTTGAAGATGACACGTGGGACGATCTAATTCGGCGAGATGGGGGCCCACGATAACACGGAAAAGAAAAGTGGGCCGAAGTGGAACTATTTGGGCTGGGCTCCGCCGTCTTACATCACTGTTAGGCCCACTTCCAACGCACGTGCGCCCACAACGCGGTCGTGTCTATTAAAATTTTAAGTCGGTGCATCTGGGCGGGCCCAAAATGCAATTATCATATAAAAAAGGGCCATTTATTTATTTATTTATTCGAGTAAAAGGGCAAAATGACAATTTAGTACTTTTCTTTTTGCATCACAGCCGTCCATTTGGAGAGGGATCTGGAGGTGCTTTAAAGCCCACGTCAACGACAGAACCCTACGTGTGAACGTGAGCTTTTTTCCTTTTGGGACTTTTTTGGGTTCATCCGTATCCATATATCCCTTATCATTAAATAAAAATTTAAAAATATTCGGAATAAAAATATTTCAACAATATCTTTAAATTTTCAACCGTTTCCATTCGTTACATATTTTAAGTGAATTGTGTTATCATGAATAAGCTGCAGGGTGATCATAGCAATTTTGTAAAGTATATTGGTGGTGATGTAGTTAAGTGACTAAATATAGCTTTGACTATTGGTATTAAATACGTGATCTTACTCGAACTAGCAAAGCTTCAACCCAAGTGAGCTAGATGACTCAGGTCTTATCTTTATTGGGACGTGGGCCATAATTCACATGGGGTAAAGTTAGAACTCTTTTCACCTTTTTTTCTCCATTATTATCATTGGTGGCTTGTGGGTCTTCTCCTAGTTTTGGAACTTATTTTTTTATTATCTTGTTTATGAGAAATATGTTTGGAATAATGGTCCTCTACATTGGTGTGATAGTCTATATCGAGTGTAAGCTCTCATGGGTTTGGTTTTAATTTCACCAATGTATCTCGTACCAATTGAGAGAGTGAGATTCCAACAATTGAGATAGTGAGATATGAGATCTCACAATCCATTCTTCTATTGAGAGAGTGAGATTCCAACAATTGAGACAGTGAGATATGAGATCTCACAATCCATTATTGTTTGAGACCTAACATTTTTGCTGGTACTCGTTTTGCTTTCCCACAAGAGAATAGGTAAATTGAGGAGAAGAGGTATGATTGGGTTGCCTGCCATGAACTCTCTCCTCCTCTAAGTTTGCAAAGATCAAGAAGGGATTTGGGGAATCTTCATGAATCATGAGAGAGAATATAGTTTCTTAGTGTTGTAATGTTTGTGATAATTCCATGCATTACCCCTCCAACTCAATTATTAATTTATTCATGTGGGCCTGGGCCTCACCAAATGGAACTATTATAATAAAAAGGTCGGATAAAAATGAACAAATAAATATTTGCTCTCGTTGAGAGTCGAACTCAAGACCTCCCGCTTACTAAACGGGTGCTCTAACCAACTGAGCTACGAGAGCCACCTGTTAACAGGGTAAATTATAATATATATATATATATATATTATTTTGTACTGACAATGAGATAATTTATTTTACAATTTCGATTAGGTTAGGAAATATGTAAATATTTTATCAATTAGATTAGGATCCATTTTTGTTCTAGAAGTTTGGTGATTTGAACCTTCGACGTTTTAGTTTATGATATTTATATTAACTAGTTGAACTATGTTTGTAAGGGTACTTTTAATATAAAAAAAAAAAGAAATCTATTCATGAATAAATGTAGCCTAGAGATTTGTGTATACTTATAAAGAGAGAGAAATATAGAATAAAAGCTAATATCAATTCCACCCTGTTAGTGTTATCAAATAGTTTGTTCATAAAGGGCACCCAAGTTTTCCTACATTCATTCTATTTCAATATTCAAGTGCATCCTTTTTATTATATTTGGATGAGGTTTTTTTCCTTTTTAGAAAGAAGAAATTCACAATTTATTGATAAAAATAGGAGAAAAGATAATTAAAGACCTATCACCAGTATTGATAGGGTCTTCAAATCTGCGAAATCCATGAAACGTTTGAAAAAGAACTTGATCTCAACCTTCCATAAAAAAGAAAAAAGAAAAAAAATGCAAGACGATAGGGTTTGCCCAACCACTAACATCGTTATCTTTTGGACGTAGAACAATGTAGTTTCACGGTGCTTGAGAAACACAAGTTTGATTGAAGATTGGAGAAGGGAGGTGGATTGACAATTCGTCACAAAATACTGAATTCTCTTTCGAGTATGACCGTTCCAAAAGATGGCCTTATTACTTGAGATATATAGGAAAATCAACCTACGAACACAAACACGAAAGAAGATAAAAGTAAAGTTGCTCTTTCAAACTAAGATTGCATTTGACATGCCATTTTGAAAAGGAAAATTTTAAGCAGAGCAGTTAAACATACTGGAAGAAAGGTAAACAAGCAAGTTCTCTAAAAGCAGATGAAATGCTTTATAACATTTTTAAAAGCCTGTTAAACACACACAATCAAATGCAACCAAATGTACAATTCAGCTCACATGGACAAGTATTCAAATCAGAATTATGCACATGGTTGGTACAGCCCAGATTCAACCTAAATGGAAGTCCAAACCTCCACCCTACACTAACTTCAAATATCAATCTCAAACCTGGTGGGCCATTGTTAAGTTCCAAACTCCTAAACATGACACCATGACAATGATGCAAGTCTATTTGTTTAGATATCACTACTTTTGAAACTTTGAAGGGGGGCAAAGTTCAACATATCTATAAAGGAATCACAGCTAGGAAAGAAAGTGAACTAATATGACAATACAGTATAAACATGCTGCCTAACAGTAGTTCAAATCATATGAAGCAGATTTAGATGTATTGCAAAACAGAGATTTAAAGCAGAGCAGCAATTACATTACCACATGAACTGTTGAATACTCTGTTAATGCAGCAAAGATTGTAGTTAACATACTAGATATACTTTTCATCATTATAGTGGAGCCAGTGAAAGTTACAAATCTAACCCACAATTTAAAGTTAAAAAAGAAAAAGAAAAAAAAAAGAATGGAGGTGTTGTTCTTGACAGCAGTTTCTCCACTGTCCACAACCACCGATATTCCGATCATCACTCATTTCTCAACACATGGAAGAATAGACTAATACCATAGGGGATTGACGTTCCCAGAATAACAACTATCCTAAAGCCAATCCCCATATCAACCGCAATGTTACTATCAACATCATTCTCCCTGTACAAAACCCTTTATATGGTCAAGTAGAAATTCAAAAAAAGA